GCAGAACAATAATGCCGTCATGACATGCAATATACTTCTATTTAATTTGATACTCCCTCCGTCCCCGTAATTTTTTCTCGTTTAACCTTTTTCGTCCATCCCATTATGTGTCACGTACTATATTTGGTAAAATTCGGGTGGTTATAATTAATTCTTACTTTATACACACTTTATCAATTCATTATCAACCATAAAATTTCACTTTTTTAAAAAGTTGTGTCACTCCCCTTTGTCTCAAACATAAAGGAACGGAGGTAGTATAAAACACTAAAATTATTACAAATATACAATAAAAAAGAACTATAATTAATGTTGGTCGAAGTGCAATGATTATCACCGGATGTGAAATAATGTCATGTAGTAATTTCATGTAGTAATGTCGTGCAGTAATTTTAATTGGACGAAATTAATGCAAAATGCACATATTTCAAATAAGGGTATTTTAGTCATTCAACATATAAATTTAAACGTGATTTTCTTTTTTTCTTTTTTTTTTGGAATTTCGGTCATACAAATGTGAAAACACTAAGTTAGTCATATTTAGAGAAACTCAATAAGTTTTAGTCATATTTTACGAAATTTTTCTTAACATTACTGTTTTCAATTTTAGTTTTTTTATTTCACTTTTAGGGATGTTTTTACTTGGACTGTAATTTGATGATCTGGTTTGGTCTGTTTTAGTCTGGTCTGGTCTGTTTTGGTCTGGTCTGGTCTGAAATTTTATTTTTTATATTTTTTGCATAAAGATTTTATTTTTTATATACTCCCTCCGTCCCAATTTACTTCCAACTTTCCCTTTTCGTTTGTCCCAAAAAGAACTGCTCTTTCCCTTTTTGGCAAAGAATTTGTGGTTCACACCAATTCTTACACATTCTTACACATTTCCCTCCTCTGCACAACTTTCCACCACACAATTCCCACTTTCTTAATCCGTGTGACATTTGTACCATGGAAGTAAATTCTGGGACGGAGGGAGTATATTATAATCCATAAATAATTATATTTTATTCATTTTTTCCTAAACCACCACCACCACCACCACCGGTAACAGTAGTAATAGTACTAATAATAATAATAATAATAACAATAATAACAACAACAATAATAATAATAACAATAATAATACTAACAACAACAACAACCAAAATAATAATAATAATGATGATGATGATGATGATGATGATGATGATGATGATGATGATGATGATGATGATGATAATAATAATAATAATAATAATAATAATAATAACAATAATAATAATAATAAAATATGGTCTGATCTGGTTTGGTTTGGTCTGGTCTGGTCTGTTTTGGTCTAGTCTGGTCTGAGACGAATTACAGTCCAAGTAAAAACAACCTAGGTAGGTTGTAACCATCTCCTCCTTTACATACATTTAAACCTCCTCCGTCCTCTCCCACTCTCTGAATCTCGACTCCCTTTTCATCTCGCTGCATACCACAAAAACAACCTAGGTAGGTTTTAATCTGAGCAATTTAATTCCTGTGAGATATCATTCACATCACATCAGATGGAGCTATTTTCTAAATTGCGATCAGAGCATTGAGTTAACTGGCAACGACACATTTTTCAGGATCAATCATCTCTTATTGAATCGACCATTTGGAACTAAATCAAAGGACCGATAGGCAGGATAACAAAATTCATGGATTCAATCGCACACTTTAGCTAGGTGATTTTGGAATTTATTGGAGGCGGAGGCAGTTTGTCAGTATTCTTAGGGACTAGAATCCACTGACGTTGTCTTCTTCAACTGACACCCAAAGGAGTGCAACCGTAAAAGGCATGAGTGTAGTTTGTTGGTAATCTTATGGGCTCATCTTGATGATGTACATGATCTGTGGTTAAACTATTTGTGTCTAATTATCAATCTTATAAACAATTAAAATTTTGAAAAAACTTTGATTTCTTTGGACAATAGGAGAAATTAGGTAGTAATTGACTTTATTGAATATCGCTTCTTTTAATTTCTCCCAAAGTTTAGTTGTGTATTTATAGGGGTTCTTTTGGAGCTAGCATTCTTGGTGAGGCTTTACTCAACCTTGCTGAACATGCTGATGCTATAAAGCTTTCCATAGTTGCATTAAATCAACAGCGATATGATACAGGAGCTATTTTACGTGTAAGTAATTGTGGTTCTCTAGAATATTTCTTATTTTAAGAAAAAATAAATAAAAAATCATTAACTTGTAGGGCTTGTTTGTCTTGGAAGGGATGTGGGAGGCAATGTGTTCAATCTATTAATCTTTTGTTCATCTTCCTACTAAATGTTTTCTGGTTTGTTGTTTCACTATAGGAAGTTGTTATATATTTATTGATTCTTTGTTTATAACATTGTTGACTTGACAAAGTAAATGTCTAGGCTTCTAGTTGTCCATTTTGCTTCCGGGGGGATTTCCAACCTTGCTGATACCGCACTTATGATGCTGTCGTGTAGTGATGGAGTCGTTTTGGGTCAAGATGTATTCAATTGCTTTGACCCTTACAAGAAAGTGAGAAAAGTTGTGAACTTGTGCATGCCCTAACGAACTAGAATAATGCAAACGTTCTGGCCCAAGCCAACAGTGGCTTAGAGGATGGTACTACTAGGCTAAACCTTGTGAGAGCAGGTTAAATTAACTACTGAGTACCCTACTTTACTGTGTTTATTTTCTCTTTAGTATATCTTCGTGATAACTTCCTTACCCTTAGAACTTACAATTAAATAATAGGGAAAAGTACGAAAAAGTACTTGTGGTTGGACCCGTTTTCAGATAAGGTTATGTGTTTCATTCTTATCAAAGTAGTTCACCTGTTTGAATTACGTTATCACAAGAGGGTCACACCGTTAAAAACGTCTGAAAAACCGTTAAAAGTAACCCCGATTTTCAAAAGTGGCCGACAAATTAAAAGAAAAATACCGAAAGGTGTGCTCGTCAAGATGACCTCCAAACCACCTTCGCCTTTGGATTTTTCAGATCTGTTTGAATTATTTTTTTAAAAAATGATTTCGCTAATATCACTTTTTCGATGGACTTCCCACTTACAAGGGTGGCCGAAAACAAAAAAGAAAGATGGCCTAGCGGTCATCTTATTGGGGCGCACCTTCCGGTATTTTTCTTTTAATTTTTCGGGCACTTTTGAAAATCGAAGTTACTTTTAACGGTCTTTCCCGGACGTTTTTAACGGCGTGACCTTCTTGTGATAACGGAATTCAAACACATGAACCACTTTGATAAAGAATGAAACACATGATCCTATCTGAAAATGGGCTCAATCACAAGTACATTTTCCGTACTTTTCCCTAAATAATATGAGTGTCTATCATATGTTTGTACGTTTATACATATATCTGGTTAATTTCATGATCTAATCATTTTCACTTCTCATTTTAGTCATAAAGTGTGATCACCTATTGTTGGTCCAAAATAGGACGTTCGTACGCTTTTAGGAAAGTTACGTACAACACTCAAGCAGGAAATCAAGAAAGCAATAAGAAAATAGAAAGTGCTAAACATGTTTAGTTGCCAAGAATAACCTATAGAAATCGCTTCCCTAATTTGAATTACAACCCGCCTTTTATAGGCGTATACAAATCGTAACCGCTATCGATAATAATGACTAATTAATTACAACATTAATACGGAAATAAATAAATAATTAAACACCACATTAATTGTTTGATCGTTACTTTTCCTGGCTGGCAGGCTTCCTGCTGGGCTGGTAGGCAGGATCCAGGTTGTGGGTTTGGGCCGATCAGGCTCTGGGTCTAGTCCCATAACTTCGTCACTTATATATATACTTGCTTTGATAAAAAAAAAATCTTTGCTTATTTGAAGAAGAAATTTGCTAAAATCGATGGTGATGGTATGATGGAGTGACTCAGCTTTGTTAAGGTAAATACGCTTCCTGCACTATTCTTCTTCCTTTGTGTTTTCAAATTGAGTATTCAATGCTGTTTTTTCAATAACTTGGACATATGCCTTGCTCTTCGAACAAAAGGAATGGCTCGTTAAAGTAATGCTTCGTTTTTAAAAAAATGTTCTATATATGCGTATTAGTTTATGGCTATAATTGATTCTGAATTTATGTCATAATAATGATCAAATTATCTTTGCAGGCCCGTTGTAAAAAATATGTATTGAAGATCATGAACATGGAAGATTGATAAGGAAATGAAGAAAACAAAAGCAAACCTCATGAACTGTGGGTAAAGATGTGACATGAATGGAAGTAAAAGAATCAAGTTAAATCAAGTATATAATAAATAAATGTAGTAGATGGAACTATATATTTGTTGTAATACTTTTATATGCTGTTTTTTTGTTGCTTTTTGTTATTTTTTTTGTTGCATCGTGTTGTTCTATATGTTGCATTTTGTTGTTTTTTTTGTGTTATTATGCACGCGTTACATCTTGTTGTTCTTTATTGCATCTTGTTGCTCTTTGTTGCTTCTTGTTGCTTAGATTGTAACCTCAATAATTAACTGCATAGATTAAAATAATAAAATTGGTGGCTGATTTAGCAGCGCAGCAGCAAGTATTACAAGCATAAATATTTAGCTTACAAGCTATGTTCGAAATTAACATTTAAATAACTAAAGTTTTAACAATACTTAGTAAAATTTAAGGATTAATCTCAATAACAAAAAAAATCATGATAATGAAATAACATAGTCAAAAAAGTTAAACCACGATCAAGCACAAACATATTAACAAAAAGGGGTAAAAACACAAAAATTCATAGATATAAATAAAAGAATTCATTGAAGCATTTTGATAAACACTTTATAGACATAAAAGTGAAATATAAATCCTAATTATAAACATCACAAATTTATACTACTATAACAACATACTCCTAATAAGCAATCAACATCATAACAACATATATGTGTACATAAAACTAAAAAATAAACAAATATAACCCTAAATGCTCAAAAAATCTGGAATAAATTGAGATAACAAGTGGGTCGAAATTTGGAAAAGAGATGAAAGAATACCTGGAAGATGAGAAGTTGTGTGTAAGAATATGGACTCGGAGAAGAAGAGTTGCAGAAGAATGAAAAGAAGAGAAAAGGAGAGAGACGAGAAGCTCACTGGATTTTGCTCCTCCCCATTAACGGGAAATGTCCGGTAGGAGAGAGAGAAGTAGGGAAATGGTGGGGTAGACAAAAAGAAAAGATTATGTTTAATTATTATTTTTAAGGAGAAAGATAGAGTGAAAAAGAAATGGAGAGAGTAAATGAAGAGGAGTATGACCCAAGTTCACTGCGTAGTGCGTACAGAGCCACAGAGGGCAGGGAGTAGCCGGATGACAGGACGAGACAAAAAGTGTGGGGTAAATGAGTTGAAAAAGAAGAGGTCTTAGTGTGTACACGGGCGTGTAAAACGCGACGTACACGAAACATTTTTGTAAACTAGTATTTCACCCGTGCGATACACGGTTAGGAAAATTAAAAAAATAGTTAAAAGTGGTAGTATTAGATAAAGATATAGAATAAATACATGTAAAAACAAATTGTCAATTAAATAATTATTGAAAATTATCTTCTCTAAAATTTAAAATAAGTCTCAAGTCTGAGAGAGTACATGGTAAACCTAGGAATCAAGACCCGTTGACTCACTCCTAGTGAGAACTTTTGCCTCAATAACTATATAACAATTTGTAGTTTTAAATAACAATTTGTATGCTTAAAAAAATAACAATTTGTAAGTTCTTCAAAACTGAGCAATGTTATTATTAAATAAGAAGCCGTTTTAAATCAATTTAAAGTTTATTTGTTGTTAAAAATGGAGAATTAAAGATAATACTCCGTATATGTTTTAACATGTGAGGCCAGATGAATCTGAAACCAAAATAGTGTTGAAGTCGGTATCTATCTTAAAAAATTAACCTAATAAACATGTCTGGTCTAAATACAAAACCATAGGCAATAAGAACTTTTATCTCCCCAATTCCCATTTCTCTCTCCTTGTCCATACATCTCCGTAATCTTCTTCACATCTACCCACCGTAAGCTATCTTTCTCAACACCAAATTAAAATTCCCTCTTGATTTATCCACCAGAAATCTCCCCATGGTATCATCAACTACTCTATCACAATACATTATATCCAAGTATACCAACTTCTTAGTAAAGGTATTGAGCACTTTTGATGTTTGTAAGGATTTTTTTATGACAAGCACGCATCATTAAAATATTTAATAAAACATCAAGAGTTAATTAAGATAAATAACATTCTCAGTGACAATATGAGCTAGTGTTCCTAAGAACCGAATCCAAAATGAAGAATCATTTTCCATGATGAATTGCTTCGACAACAGCCTCAACTTATTCTTTACTCGCTCAAACACACTTGGTTCCTTATTTTATCAAGTTGTGTGCTCTTATCAATTTACCACTCCTTCCATGGGTTTCCTTGTCATGGTGACACTCTTAGCTTTCTTAATGATGTTTGGGCATTTTCCTTCTTTCTCACCATTGGTGAAAAATTGCAAAAAAATGAAACAAAGAGATAATAGATAAGTTACTATGGCATGTTAGAACTTAGATTTAACATTATATCTTAAATTTCAAGTCTTTCTTTTACCAAATCTATGAACTGCATACAATCTTCATGTTAGCAATTAAGATGAAGCATTAGAAAACAGATGGTTTACAATCTTCTTGTTATTCTAAATTTTCATTTAGAATTGAATTTGAAATTAATATGGGTATCAAATTAGTTATAGGTATCACATACTCCGTATAATCTTCTTACTATTCTTATATGGTTTGCTACTTTTATTGAAGCCAACGATGAAAAATATAAAAAAAAAATCACCAAGCATCTGCCATCATAAAAGATTAAGGAAGAGCCGGTTGACCTCAAGTCAGATTCATTGAGGCTAGGGAGCTGCTTGTCTTCTAAATTCTAATCATGTGCTTTGCATCATTCCTGTGGAACAATCATAAAAATAAGAACATTAGCTTTCATCATCTCATATCAAATTTTCAATGTGGTTCTAATATAAAAACTAATATGACTATAAACATTTCACACAGGTGATGAGACTATCCCCAGTAATATACATTGTTGGCCGCCCTCAAAATACTACCAAGTTGAGTCCTTAGGCCGAGAAGAAAGACAGGCTCCATTTGCTATCTCCACCTCAAAATAGTTTTTAAAGGTGACTTAAGGATTAACAAAAAACAAAAGTTGTACTTCGTATATGACTAATTTGATACATATACTCAGATTTACACTTCAATACTAAGGTTTTTTTCATTGAGAAATTAATATGCATATTATAACTACAATACGTAGTACTCCGTAACAAATTAGATGTTTTTTCGGATCAAATAATATATACGGAGTACTTCGTATATCATTTTCCTTAACAAATGAGTAAGCAAAATAAGATGTATCTCCTCCCTTGTGCATCATCTTATTAATTTATGCAGTCAAGGATCAATAAATATGCATTACCTTTTAAAATCCTAGAAAATTAGGCATCATGGCAAGACATTTTTATTGAAGAATTATAACAAACACATTGTTATCAAAACATTTACAGTTAAGAGGGCTTACAGTTTGATCAGTTTCTGGGTGTAGATTGATCTGTACAATCTGACAAGTTGGATTAAATTCTATATCTTCTCCAGCAACTAAACGTAATCAGAAATGTAAATATGAACCTATGATGGGTGGACTGGAACCTCACTGATGTACCGGAATAAACATGGATATAGGCTTTAATAATAAGCTTTATGCTGTCGAGGAAGGGTCTTCAGAGATATTGCATTCTCTTTTGGAAAATGATGTCTCAAGTAATCTATGGCAAGATAGGTTGCTTGTTGTCCAGTCAGAAGATAGTGATGAAGATATTGATGAAGATACTGATGAACTTTAAAATCTTACATATTAACCTTCCAGTATGTGCCTTACATATTGAAGAGTTTGCTTATTTTTTTGGAAAAATAGGTAATATTAATCCCAACTATACCCGGTCCGCTTTTAATAATCCTTAATATAGATTATTTCCCTATAGTCCCAACTTTGGGCCCCATTTTCTTAAAACACTCCGCTACCGGTTAAAATGAGTTATAACCGGCTAAGTAAACACGTGCAACACATCCCTCTTATCTTCTTCGTCGTCCACCGATTAAACCCATCCCTCAGCTTCTTCGTCGTCCACCGAAATGAAAGGAGTACAGAGTCAAGAAAACAGAACGGTGAACTCTTCTTCCTCTCCTCTTTTCAACCGCGGCCCAAGAAATCAACCAACGGGATACGACGGCGAAATGAGTTCGATTTATGGGTCATCTTCATGGGGTAGAAGGACCGAAAGCATTGGTTTTTCAAATTAGTGCTACCACAGACTACTTTGTGGACCTAGAATGGTGAAAAATGGGCCAAATACTGGGAGACAATTTTATGGGTGTGCATTATGGCCTGTAAGTTATTTAGTACTCCTAAGAATCTCTCTTTTGCCCGCTAATCAGAACTTCCGTAACTTATTTTGTGAATTAATTGATGAGTTATTTTGTTGATTGCCAGAAAGAAGATTGTCATTATTTTCAATGGGTTGATGAAGGAAATCGTCCTTGCAAAGAAGACAACAGAAATGATAAGGAAATGTTGTTGGAGCATCTTTTTAGCAACAGAAATGAAGGACAAAAAGCATTAGAGGAGAAGATTGTTAGGTTGAAATTGAAGAAAAAGATGGTGGAAGCTAAAAATCAGGAAATGCAGCTACTCATTACCAAAAATTTGAAGTCCCAAAGAATGACATTCATTGCTGTTGTTGCCTGTTGGATCTCGTTTTGCATTGTGTTATACTATAAGTAATTTGGGGGTGTGGATGTTTTGAGAGTTCTAGATATGTGTATTAGCTGTATTGTGATGTAATGTGTAGTGGATGTTTTGATGGATTGGTCATTGGATAATACTTTTGAGAGGGATTAGAGTTTTCTCAAATAACTTTGTTGCATTGTAATGTGTAGTGATTGTTTTGATGCATTTGGTTTTGTTCTGGTGTAATGTTTATGTAATGAAAATGTGTTATTGTTTTGACATGAATTGTTTGTACATGTAAAAGCACACATACTAAACTGAACAATAACCATATCTTAATGTACATGCAAATTGTGGTTCCAAACTTGGAAGTAAAAATGAGACTTAGAAGTCTGTTTTGATAAGTTCACAATAATCAACTTTTTGGAAACAACATCTGGTTTCAAAGTAACGTGGAAGTAAATATGAGAACCACATATCTGGGAACAAACCACATATCATTGAACATGAACAACCCACAGACTTAGAAGTCTGTTTACATAAAAGTTCAAAATATTGAACACACCAAGTTAAGTCATTACAAATCTTTGAAATACAACAAAGTCTACAATCACAAAACATCAAGTTCTTCTCTGCAACTTATTACATAATAACAATACTAAACATCAACTTCTTCTCTGCAACTTTGGACTGCAACCTTGGACAACAACCTAAGGAAATGAAGGACCAACTGAAGGCTCTGATAGATTACTTGGACCAGCTTGGCCGGGAGGCTGTAAACACAAAAAATATAATAACATTATCAGAATAATAACTCATAAAAGTAATGCAATAATGAGTTACAAAAGCTAAAAAATACTTACATTAGTCCAGGTGTTGCCTTCTCCATCAACAAGGACTCCAAAGCCTACAGGAATTTGACCCTTACCTCTGCCTCTTCCAAATCTCCCTCTCCCTCTTGTTGTGTTACTTCCTCCTCTTGCTTGAATAAGTCTTCCTCCTCTCCCTATTCTTGAAGGTTGTGCAGTGGTTTGATAAGTGCTTTGTTGTGCTTCTGCATTTTGGATAGCTTTCTTGGGCCTGCCCCTGCTTTTCTTTTGTACAGGTTGAGCTTCCTTGTTTTTATCCGGGCATTTTCTCTTGTTATGATCTTTGGACTTGCACACACTACAGGACATCTCAACACCATGTTTTGTTAATTTTCCTGGCTTCTTAGGGTTTTCATGGGGAGACTTCATTCTATTTTTCCTAGGTCTACCTGGCCCAATCTTAATAGGTGGAGGGTCTATTGGCATATCAACCTTGGGCCAATGTCTCTCTCCAGTTAGGGGTGCAATACCCCCTGAGTACATTTTCAGATAAGTGTCCTTGGTGTAGCAGGTATGCACATAGTTCTCAGGAGTCTCATTCATGAAGAAAATGCAAGAAATGGCATGACAACATGGTATTCCACTCAAGTCCCACTTCCTACAAGTGCAGGTTCTAGCCTCTAAATTTACTGTCAAACAATCTAATCTGTGGCACACTTGGAATAAAACCTGGCTAGATGGTAAAGGGGTACAATTGGCAGCCTCGTCTTTTTCTTTCTCAAGCCTGGCCTTAATTCTAGGACATAACATACCAGTATTTTTTTCCATCTGCTGTCTTTTAAGAACTATCCTTTGCATTAAAGCACCCCTAATATCCTCAAGCATGAAAATTATATGTTTTGCTCTAGCATTTATTATATAACCATTAAATGTTTCTGCCATATTACTAACAATGACATCACATTTAGTGTTTATTCTAACAAATGCTCTACAAAAACATGATGGGTTCAATGATCTAAATGAACTCACTGCAGCCGGGTTAACCCTTTTCATTTCTTCCAGAGCTTCTTCCAAATCAGCTTCATTGTATGCTTTTGCAGCTTTCCAAAAGAGCATTTTCATCTCATCACCCTTGTGATTTTTATGCCAGTGTGCAAATACATGTCTAGCACAGTGCCTATGCTCAGCCAAAGGGAATTCTTTAGCCACTCCCCTCAATATGGACTGCCAAATAAGACATAAACAGTTACAAAAACAAATAAGAGCTAAGAACAAAGTAGATGAATATAAAATAGCTTCATCAAATGACCTGGTGTTCATCTGAAATGAATGTGAGATCAGCACCAGCTAGAGTGTCTACATTCTTCTTCAGTTCACCTAAGAACCATTCCCAGCTTGAGTTGTTCTCCCCTTCTACTACTGCCCAAGCTACTGGAAACATTTGGTCATTTGAATCTCTTCCTATGGCAGATAAAAGCATCCCACCTAAGAATGTTTTGATGAAACATCCATCTATACACAGAACATATCTACCTCCACTCAACCATCCATCTTTTAACCCTTTGAAGCACACAAAGAACCTCTGAAATGTAGGAGGGAAGCTTTTTATAGTAGGGTCAGTGAACAACTTGAAATGGCTGTGGGGGTTAGCATTACTAAGAGCTTCCAAATACCTACCAAGCTTATTGTAGTGTTCTGTCATACTATCATGAAGTTTTCTGTGAGCATGATACTTCACCTTGTATACAAAGTCCCTCTTCACAAGAACTTTGTAAGCTCTCCTAATTGTTTCCATGATTTCCTTTGCAGGCCAATGAGGTCTGGACTTAAAAACTTCCAAGAATTGTGCTGCTACCCAGGGTGCCTTCAGTTGTCTATTTTTTTTTCATATTTCTGTTACAAGTGTGCTCTCCAATCACACTTTTTACAACAAAGCATGCCCTCCTACTGTCCCAACTAGCATACAACCTAAATGGACAGCCTTCCACACATTTTGCACCTATTCTCTGTTGTCTTTCCTTATGGCTTACATGTATCTTCAAATTTCTTCCTTGGGCAATGGCAAATCTAGCAACAACATCTTTAAACTTGTCCCTGTTTTCAAATTTCATTCCAACCTTCCAGGTCAGCAACTTAAAGTCTGTATTTTCATCCACTAAAGCCACTCTACCTCTCTTGGTTCTTGAAACAGTGTCATCTCCATCACTCTCAACAGGTGTGTGAATGTCATCACCTGATTCCTCATAGTCACTAACACATTGACTCTTAAGAATGTCATCTTCTTCCTGTACTGTGTTTGAAGGGGTACTTTTTTCACCTACATTTCCCTCACCTGCTTCTTTTTGAAGTTCTTTGGCTATCTTCACAATCTTAGAATTCCAACCATTCACTCTTCTTCTTGACTCTCTAAATTCCTCATCACTGGTGTCCTCATCAGATCCAAAAAGTGGAACCTCTAACTCCTCACCATCTTCTTCTCCCAGATAATCTGAAAAGGCTGCACCTTCATCATGTTCTTCCTCATCATGATCTTCTTCATCTTGTGCTGCATCTTTACTATTTGAAGTTTGTGCTTGTGAACCAGAGGTTTGTGGTGCCTTCCTTGTAATTGGTTCAGTTCCACTCACAGCAGCTGAACTTCTTGAACTCCCTTTTACCCCATCACTAACCCCTTTTTCAGTAGCCCCCCCTTCATTTTCCCCACCACCTTCAAGTTGTAGCACCAATTCTGGTGAGCTTAGTCCATGTCTTATATAGCAATCAATGATCTTATATTTCATAGCTACTTTGTACATTTCCCTGACCTCATCATCAAGCTTAACTCTTCTCAAACCGTTATGCAGACTTTGACCAGGAATCAAGTAATAAATGTCATCAATACTGCTGTATTTTCCACATCTACCAGCTAACTCTTCTAACCAAAACCAGCACAACTCATCAACATCAATTTCAAAACATTTGTATTCACCATCTACGTACTCCAACTTTTTCAGATTATTATTCTTAAAGATACCTCCATGCCACATCTTAATTGTATTGACAGTTGAACTATCCATCTCAATTCGTACCTAAAAACATGATATGCAGTTCACGACTCAACATAAAAATTCAACACACTCATATAACCCTAAATAACACTGACATTTCATGAATCAGCATAAAAGTTCAGGTCTTTACCTTGGACTGTGAGAACCGTGCACAAGACAGTCTGGGTACCTGGAGTTATTCTGATTTCTTCACCTACTTACCGACGACTACGACGACGGTGCAACACAGTCAAGGTGCCAGCGGTTCCTCCAAGTTCATGTTCTGTGATGGTAGGGAGAGGAGCAAATATGTTTGGTATGCGAATGGAGTAATGACATGGTTGTTAGGATGTTTAACACTTTAATTTACTGATACTACCGGTCTTCGGTGAAGCGGAGTGTTTTAAGAAAATGGGGCCCAAAGTTGGGACTATAGGGAAATAATCTATATTAAGGATTATTAAAAGCGGACCGGGTATAGTTGGGATTAATATTACCTATTTTTCCTATTTTTTTCCATCTAAAGCCATCATATTCTCTCCTACCGTACGTTAGACACCAGAAGCCCTAAACTGGAAGAAATCTTATAACACCAGCATATTTACTTTTTAGTAAGTTATGTAATTAACCTTGAACAATGAATTATGAAATTTGCAAAGTTGTAATTTTTATTATTTCTTTTGCGTGAATAGTAAATTGCACGTGGGACCCACACCAGAAACGGAGACCACCCGATAATTCTAGAACCACATATTATATTCATCTTAATCTAGATAATATGTATATGGTGTTGGATAATTTAGTTGGTCCATAGAAAGGGCATAGAGTTGATCTGTTGGTCAAACGAGGCCCAATTACCGGTATTGATAATTTATCGGATAACAACCCGAAATGAATTTCGGAGACTCCTAAATTAATGTTGGGGAATGTACATCTATTCTAAAGTCCTGTAATTATTAGGAACGTGTGATATATTTTATTTGGCCCGATAAAATAAAATATAATTAAAACAATCCAAGAAATACAACTTTCGGGACCGATTGTACAAATTGGAACACAAAGGGATGACTTCCCACATGAGTGGGGGCCACTCCACATTTTTGTGTGTGCAATATGACTTATGGGGGCTGAAATGACAAAAGGATGAGTGGAGGAAAGCCATTTGGAATCTAAAATATCAAAGAGGGCCCCTCACCCTCTCTTATTGCTCATTTGAGACAAAAGTAACCATCCCTTCTCACCTCCATCCTCTAGCTCGACCCACACCGCCATGCAATTAAAGAGAAGGAGAACTCTCAAACCAACCTCCATAACTGCATAATTCGAGCTCAAGCATTAGGAGTCCAAGGAAGAAGATTGAAGAAGGGAAAAGTTAGGAAAAGTACGGAGGATTAAGGTAATAACCTTATAATAACTTTTCCTATACTTTTTATTTACCATATGACTTGTATAGCATATGGAGGAACCCTATTATTGTTCTACATGTTTAGAAGTGTAGAACAAGGGGTTGGAAGGTAGTTCCAAGTCCAGGAACGAACTTAGAAGCCAAAACGACCGGTTCGCCGGAAAATAACCTTTTAGAGGTTATTTGTGTTGATATGGGTTTTATGATGATAAAACCTTGTTAGGAGCTTCACTAAGGTGTTCCTAATTGTCGCCAAAGCTTTGCCGGAGTTCAACCAAGAAGGGTGGAACTTTTTAAAGCTCATTCGTAAGGGCTTGGATTGTTAGTATGAAAAATATATCTTCCGGAGCTTCACTAAGGTGTTCCTAGTTGGGATGTTAGTATGAAAAATGATGGAATAAATCCTAAGGGCTTGGATTGTGAAAGATATACCTTAAGTAGTCTTATGAGATACTTTAAGGTAGGAATGTGTAAATGCTAAGTTAAGCTAGGAGTAAACCTCAAAGGCTACTCAATATGAAGTGATCCTAGGCATACAAGTTGCTTAGGAAATTGACAATATGACTAGAGGGAGCCTCTAGCATATCGAATGGTGACTAGAGGAAGCCTCTAGCATAATGTAATGATGACTAGATTAAGCCTCTAGCATAACGGAGAGTGACTAGAGGGAGCCTCTAGCACGACGAGAAATGACTAGAGGAAGCCTCTAGCATAATGTAGAGTGACTAGAGTCAGCCTCTAGCATGACGAGATGATATCGGTGAGTGGAACTTTACTATAGTGAAAAGACGCGATAAGGTAAGCATGGGCCCACGGGCCGACTACTGCACCTTATATATAAGGTAAGTAGGTTCTAAATATGGTAACCAAGGATTACAGCCTATAATATACTATCACCCTAGATTGAGGGTCTTGGAAATTGAAACATTGATTATATACAGTGTAGTTGTCATTGTACTTTTCAAATGTTTCAAAGTACTGACTTCCCCTTCACGGGGGAGGCCACCTCACAGTTTTAGGTAGAACTTGAAGGTTGCTACCACCGTTCGTTGCTTCGGGGAGATCAAAGGAAGAAGACTTGGTTCGTGCTTCTTCCGTTTCTGTTTTAAAAACAATATGAATAATGCTCATGGATATTATTTTTGAATAATTAATTAAGGGCGTGTATGCCTAAGTTTGCCAAGTGTGGCTTGAACACTTGTATTAATATTTCCGCTGCTTTAATAAATGTTTTACATTATGTTTGTTTATGGATGTACTATGTGTGAATGATATTTTAGATGCCTTGTACGTATAGTATGAATGTGTTGAACTGCGGTTGACTATTCGTATTGTACGGCGGATTGTTAACGTGTCCGGATAGGTCCGGGGCGTGATATCTTATTATCTTCTTCTTCCTAAAGCACCAAGATGCAGAGTTAGATCCTAGAGATGACAGAAGCCGCCGTTCCGCCACTCCCATCTCCGACCTTTGCGACTTGGGTGCACCGTCTTGCCGGGTCAAAGGACGACCTAGGTCTATGGCCCTCCATTGATCTCCATTGATGTTGTTGCAATGGATGTGACACCTCTAGTAGTTGATCATCCGATGCTTTGCCTCATCCACGCCAAGTCGTCGCCGGAATCCAGTAGCTGAAGTTCCTGCCAGCTGCTGTGAGTTCCTGCCGTCTGGATTGCTATGACAATTGTAATAGAAATTGGCGATATCCTCGACCAAGAAGTAAATATACAGAGCATTAACTATACAGTACAAAAAAAGAAAAAAGTCTCCTTCCCTAGAGTTATAGGGTTTGCGCCGTTTTTTCCGATTTGCTTTGGTCGAACGTTTTCCTTTACGTAGATTTTTTTCTTGATTGTGAGTGCATGGCATCTGAAATGGAAGATTTTTACTCCCATCTCAATTTGGAGGATGATGATCAAGTCGAGGTGGAACTAGATGACTCGGTCATACGGGATGTCTCGTCTTTCTCAAGGCATTGCCTTGTTGGTCGTTTATTGACGGAGAAATCTATCAAGTTCAGCGTTTTCAGAGAAGTTATTGCAGATGTATGGAGGCCTGGTAGGGGGGTCCATGTTCGGGAGATTGGAGATAGGAGAATCCTTATTGAGTTCTTTCAAGAGGCCGATGTGCTTCGCGTCATGACTGATGGTCCCTGGTCGTACGAGAACAGTCTGTTAGTCTTACGGAGATTGCAGGAAGATGATGATCCCAACACTATTCCGCTTGATCATGAAGCCTTCTGGGTGCAGGTGTATAAACTCCCTATGCGGTATTTTACGGAGTGGACAGGCCAACTCATAGGGAATCGGCTGGGGTCTTTTGTGCAGACCGATCCAAGCAATTTTACAGGGGGCTGGAAGGAGTTTATGTGGATCAGAATTTTGCTACCTGTTGATAAGCCAATAAGGAGTCGATTAACCTTGAAATGATAGGATGAATCTGTTGAGGTGGAACTGAAGTATGAGCGGCTGCCGCACTTTTGCTTTATTTGCGGAATGATGAATCACACTGACAGGTTGTGCCCGAGGAGATTTACAGGAGCTGAAGGCACCCAGGAGAGACAATTTGATAGTGGTTTGAGAGCAGGGGGTCGAAGAGGCGGCCTGGGAAGAGGAAGTAGGTGGCTTGTGGATGGTTCGGGCAATCCGTTGTCTGGAGCTCTCTCTGGGAGTGAGTTGGGAAGAAGGGCAATGATAGTTCAAGGCTTGGAAGGAGGGTCGAAGGAGGATGAGGCAGTTGATATCTCATCGGAATTGGGTGGGTATTTGAAGAAGAGGAAAGCGCGGGGGGGACGGGGTATGGAGCCAGTACCTCGGATGTTGCCACCATGGAGTATTCTGAGTCAAAAACGGGGAATGAGCGGCGGGTCCTGCGAGTCAGGCCCGCCGATACCAATGAGTTGCTTAAGTTGGAATTGTCGCGGGCTCGGCAATTCGGCGGCAGTTCAAGCTTTGGTGAACTTGGTTCACTTGAAGAAGCTCACTTTAATTTTTTAAATGGAGACTTTCTCAAATAAAATTAAGACAGATTTAATTATGAAGAAAATTGGAATGCATTTTTCCTATGTGGTGGAATGTGTTGGTCACAGAGGCGGTTTGGCTTTACTTTGGAGAGAGGGGGGTCAAGTCCACATCCGGGATTCTTCTCCTCACTTCATTGACGCGCGATCCTGTATGGCAATTCACAGGTTTTTACGGCTGCCCGGAGCGGTCTAGGAGGAGAGAGTCATGGGACTGTTTGAAATCTCTAGGGCCTGAACCTCATCTTCCCTGGTTGGTGATGGGGGACTTTAATGCTATGATGGTTGCTTCGGATAAGCGAGGGAGAGTGCCACATCCTCCTTGGTTATTAAGAGGATTCCGCAAAGCTGTTTGAGCGTGTGAACTGGAGAATTTTCCCTTCCAAGGCTATCAATACACTTGGGAAAAGTGGTGGGGTTCCCCGAACTGAGTGGAGGAGAAGCTAGATAGAATTCTAGTCTCACAGGATTGGCGAGACATGTTTGGTGGCGCAATGGCAGAATCTTTGGAGGGGGGCCCTAGTGATCATTTAGCCTTGCTTATCAAGTTGATTCCGTCCCGGAGCTATCACAGGCGCAGCAGATTTAAATTTGAATTTTTTTGGCTCAGAGATGAAGATTGTCGTTCCATCGTAGCAAGAAGTTGGAGTCTGGGAGCAAGTTCGGGGATTATGGGACAAATTGCGTTCTGTTGTAAATCAGTAGAGGACCGGGGTCGATCCGCAGCAGGCTCTTTGGGTAAGAAGATTCTGTTTTGTCGCAGGCGATTGGAATATCTTCGAAAGTTCTCTGATGGTTGGCATGTGAGTGTTTTTTAGAGTGTTAAGAGGGAATATCTTGATTTGCTTGAACAGGAAAACATTTTCTGGAGGCAGAGAGCAAAAGAATTTTGGTACAAAGGAGGAGATCTTAATACTCGATTTTTTCATAACTCAGTGAAACAACGGAGGAGGAAAAATAGAGTGGAGGGGCTTAGGTTGGAGGGAGGAGGGTGGGAGACAGGGAGGGCTGAAGTTGGTCGCCTAATTAGTGATTTTTTTGCTAATATTTTTTCTTCAGTTCACAATACAGGGGAATTTGTGTTTCGATGTATCTCGAGGAAACTGAAGGATGTCCATAACATACACTTGATGCGGCCAATAAGAAGTGAAGAAGTGAAGGCAGCCATTTTTGACATGTTTCCTGACAAATCTCTTGGCCCGGACAGCCTGAGTCCGGGATTTTTTCAGCACTATTGGGATGTGGTGGGACCGGATGTGGTCAAATTCTGTTCGAAGGTGTTTCAGTCAGGTAAACTCCCAGATAAAATTAATCATACTAATATTGTTTTAATTCCTAAGAAGGATAGGCCGGAGGTTTTGGGGGATTGGCAGCCTATTGCCCTCTGTAATGTTATTTACATGAAAGATTTTTTCATGTAACGAGAGGGCGGGGCATTTACATGGCGTAGCGGTTGCCCGTGGAGCCCCAAAAATTTCTCATCTATTTTTTTGCAGACTACAGTCTCCTATTTTTCAGGGCTACTCATAGTGAAACCTCGGTTGTGAAAGAGACGTTAAATGATTATGCTCTTGCTTCGGGACAGGTAATCAATTTAAGTAAATCTAAACTCTTTTTCAGTTCTAATGTCTCGGATGATGTCAGAGGGGGGTTAAGAGAGATGTTGGGAGTGAGATTGGCTGATGGTGATGAGAGGTATCTCGGGTTACCGGCAGTGATGGGTCGCAAAGGAGCTGGAAGAGAGGTTTTACTTAAATCTGTCATTCAAGTGATTCTTACTTATGCGATGAATGTTTTTCTTCTACCAAAGGAGCTGTGTAAGGAAATTGAAACGTTGATGAATGGGTACTGGTGCCAGGGGAAATCGGGAAAAGGAATTAGGTGGAGAAATTGGGATTTTATGTGTAAGCCAAAAAAGGAGGGGGGTATGGGTTTTAAGAAGCTTCGAGAGTTTAATCTGTCCATGCTAGCTAAGCAAGCATGGAGATTATTTTCTGAACCAGAATCTCTAGTCGGGAGAGTTTTCAAGGCCTGATATTTTAGGGATGGTAATTTCTGTCAGCGAAGGTGGGCAACAATCCTTCTTTTATTTGGCAAAGTATTATTCAAGCTCAAGATATAATCAGGCAAGGCTATTATTGGAGAGTTGGAAATGGGTCGGATATAAATATTTGGTCCGAGCTTTGGCTCCTGGATAAAAACCAACCCAAACTAGTGTCTACTCCTGTTTCGAGGCTGGAGCAAGCTCGGGTTAGGAACCTTATGTGTGCAGGGGACAAGAAGTGGGATCTAGATCTTCTTAATGACCTATTTGTGCAACGAGATGTTGACCTCATTCAAGGGATTCCGTTGAGTATTAGGGATGTACCGGATAGAGTGTGCTGGAGATGGGAGAGCTCAGGCCAGTTCTCGGTCCGTAGTTATTACAGAGCATTAGTCGGAGAAATGGAATCTGGTGATTGGTCCGGGTGGACAGCGATGTGGCGGTGGAAGCTGCCACCAAAGGTGAAGCAGTTTTTTTGGCAAATGTGTTGCGGCTTACTCCCCACGAAGGATAATCTCAAGGTCCAGAAAATCAATTGCACTGAAGATTGTGGCCTGTGTGTGATGGGTGTTGAATCTCAGCTTCACTTATTCATTTCTTGTCCATTAGCGAAGGAAACCTGGGATTCGATAGGGTGGAGCTGGGCAAATCCTGTCGCGGGGTCCTTCTTGGAGCAGGTCCGAAGGGAGTTCCAAATAAAGAATAATGGTGAGTTATGTAAGCTGATTTGGGGTTGCTGGGGCTTATGGGGTGAACGAAACAACAGAATTTGGGGTGGGACTCGCACTGATATGAAGCAGGTCGTGAGGAAAACTCGAGTGTATGTGGATGGATGGTGTCTTGCGCAGAAAGGGGTAGGCGGGCAGTCTGTTCAGGGGAGTGAGAGTACTTCGACTTGGAGAGTTCCTTCCTCTGACAGGCTGAAACTGAATGTGGATGCGGCAATAAGGGAGAATAGGAGCAGATTGGGTTGGATTATTAGAGATGATTCTGGTACTTTTATTGCAGGAATGTCGAAGGTCTGGATGAGAGTTTTGTCTCCGTTGGAAGCCGAGCTGATAAGAATTCGTGAAGCTTTGAGCTGGGCTAAAGGAAAAGGATGTGATCGGGTGGACGTAGAGTCAGATTCGTCAGGAGCAGTTTCAGAGATACTAAAGGAGTCAAGCATATCCTTAGCGGGCGTATTGGGTGGCGATATTCGAGAGATTGCATCTTCTTTTATGGATCTCTTTTACTCATATTAAGCGATCAGCGAACAAGGCGACTCACGAATTAGCTAAAGCTGCTTGTTCTGTGTCTGATCGTATTCTTGGAGCGATGTTCCTCCTCATTTTATTACTCATGTTTTAAACGCTGATTCTTTGAATGAAAGTTAATCTATTTCTTTTCAAAAAAAACTATACATTACATGTTAGCTTTCTTTCATAAAATCTACGGTCAATACAATAACGTGTGAGAATGGACAACAACCCTGAGCCATTAAAAAACCTTGGCCCATACTCCCTATTTTAGAAGATCCCAACTTTATTTTTTGACTAAAGGTCCGAGCCAAGATCAGTTTGTATATAGATAGATTTCCGGTCCTATTGCAACTGTTAACCGCGAAAATGGAACAAACAGCAGTAGAAGCGGCGAAGAGGAGATGTCGAGCCCTAATAAGCCAGATAAAGAACTCAACAAAATCCTTGTCATCGTCGAATAAGACCCTTTTGCGACTCGCCAACTCTGAGCTTTCTTTCCTCGACCGCCTAAACCACTCCTCCGTCTCACCTTCTGTGCCTCTCAGCCTCAACATCGGCCACCTTGAAGCGGTCTGTTACATTCTCGGCCACCCATCTGTCACCTCCGTCGCGCGGGTCTGCAAATCCATTCCAACCTCTCCTCCACAGAATCTCAGAGCGGGCGATTCTAGAGTATATATAGATATAGTGTGTTGTTACAATGGGAAGCCCGTTTGGATCCTTGTCTCAGATCGAAATCCCAAGTACAATGACTTCAATGAACTGCGAGGTCGTGTTGTAGGCGTTTTGAAGGCTGCTCGCGATTCACCTTTAACTCTAAGGCCATCTTCTGTTATCCTTTCGTTTTTGAATGGCCTCCGAGATGATGTTATTCAGAAGCTCCGAGATGAATTTGAGACCACTGATTTTGCTGGGTTTGGGGACTCCTCATTATTTGAACACGAGCTCGAAGAGGAGGAAGGTGATTGGGTCAATGTGCTACCTTGCCGTTCTTTTGAAAGGGCCTGCTTTTTGGAGATAAAGATTGAGGCTTTTTACAGTAACACGGAACTTTTTCATTCCAAGAGGGAAGTAAGGTTTGAAAATTGCTTAGAGCATTTGGAAATGGATAAAAATACTGCTGTGAATTTAGAGGAATCGTTTTGTTCTCTTGTGTCAAGAATGAAGAGCTGGTCTGCCGGGGATGTTGAAGGGAATGCTGAACTGGTTAACTTTGACACAACTGCTCTAGTTGCTGCCGTGTCGGGGATAAGCAATGGAGCTACCTTGAATGTTCCAGAGAGTGATTTGAGGGCTCGGTTCAAGGGAAATTATGATTTTGTGATAAATCAGGTTGGAATACTAAGAAACCTTTTATATATGGAGTACTTGCCGAATTATCTGTATTTGTTGTATGTGAAGATACTCTGCATTCATGGTTCTATTATAATTGGTTGGGTTATGCTATTTGCCTGTCACCGTGTGCTTTTTGTTGCTTCAGTTTTTTTAATGGTCCTAAAGTTTTTCTGTTGTTAACCGTCCTTCTCTACCTCTTAATATAAGCCTCGGCATATGTAGAAAAATTAAGGCTATGCTTGTAGTGTAGAAAATGGTAGGGAGTGGGGAAAAAGAACAAAGCTAAGGAAAACAAGCTGCCGGATTCATGTTGGTTTTTAAATCTTTACACCCAACAGGTGGATACTGAAATGATGAATCCAATCCATGCAGTCATGTCTGATGCAATATCTGGAAAGAAAGGGATTGTTTGTGAAAGTGTTTTCTCAGAATTTCAGGAGATAGTATCAATGTGCGGTGGGCCAAGAGAAAAGTTAAGAGCTCAGCACCTTATGAAGAAACTCAAGTGAGTTCCATTGAGTCGCCTTAGGAGTTGTAATTATGTTTCTCAGATATTCTTCTGTTTAAAGGCATAATAACTGTGTCTTAAGAAGCTATGGAATCTCATTTGTAATTTGAGCTTTTGAGGTCACAATGTGTCTTGCTGATGAGTTAAAAAATGTGATCAGGGTTGTTCCTGACAGCCCGTCGGCACGTGTGATGAGCCTTCCCACGACCAGAAAGTTGGCCTTGAAGAACAAAGTGGCGTTCGGGACAGGCGATCACTGGCACGCTCCAACCATAACTGCAAACATGGCTTTTGTAAGAGCAGTTTCACAAACTGGGATGTCTCTATTTACCTTAGAGCACAGTCCTCGGGCACTAGTTGGTGACTGACTAATTAGGACTGCTGTAGGGACTAGCACATGTATACAACTAATACTACTGTTGTCTTCCATCCCATGTGTGGGTTAATTTGTAAATAAAGAAATGCGGGTTTTGGTCATTACTTTAGAAAACTGAGGTGTCATTAAACTTAATTCTGTTATAATATGAAAGGAAATGAGCAGAAGATCAGGGAGAGAAAGTATAGTAGAACACTTAGTGATAGATGTGTATTAGAGAGTGTGATAATGGTGTAATGAAGGTGTGTTGATTACAATGGAGAAGACTCCTATTTATAGGAGAAAAGCTAAGCTTATTAGGATTAGAGGATAATTGTGAACCACACAATTATCATCTAGAATCATAATTATGATTTCCTAATTATTTATACAATGGTGATAATAATTCCTAATCAGGAATAGTTGGAAGATGACTAATTCAATATATTTCAACACTCCCCCTTGAATGGTCATCTTCTAATTATTCTGGGGTATTAGTATCATAGTATTATAATGTACTGTCTCGTTAAAAACCTTTGTCAGGAAAAACTCAGTGGGATAAAAACCTGGCGAAGGGAAAAAGAGTGCAGTGCATTATATTACTCCCCCTCAATTTAACATATATCTCGAAGACGACACATTCCAATTTTGTGGACCAGTTCTTCAAATTTCTTCGGTGCCAATGACTTTGTGAATAAATCAGCAGGGTTGTCGCAGGACTTGATTTGTTTGACATCAACTGTTCCTTCTTTCTCAAGATCATGTGTGGAGAAAAGTTTTGGTGCTATATGCTTTGTTCTATCCCCTTTGATGTAACCTCCTTTGATTTGAGCTATACATGCTTTGTTATCTTCATAAATTACAGTAGGATTACAAGTAAAAGATTTTATACCGCATTCATTTTGTATGTGTTGGATCATTGATCTCAACCAGACACATTCTCGACCTGCTTCATAAAGAGTAATTAATTCTGCATGATTTGATGATGTGGCAGTTAATGTTTGTTTCATTGATCTCCATGAGATAGCGGTATCACCATAGGTGAATACATATCCTGTTTGTGATTTTGCCTTTTGTGGGTCAGACAAGTATCCTGCATCGGCATAGCCAATTAAAGTGGCATTTGCACCATTCTTGAAATACAATCCAAGATCGATTGTACCATTGAGATAACGGAATATATGTTTGACGCCATTCCAATGTCTTCTTGTCGGAGAAGAACTGTACCTGGCTAATAAATTTACAGAAAAAGCAATATCTGGTCGTGTATTATTAGCCAAATACATTAACGCTCCAATAGCACTCAAATATGGTATTTCGGGACCAAGGATTTCTTCATCATCTTCACAAGGTCGAAAAGGATCATCATGCACATTGAGAGATCGAACCACCATCGGGGAATTGAGTGGGTGAGCTTTTTCCATGTAAAACCGCTTCAAAAGTTTCTCGGTATAATTTGATTGGTGGATAAAAATACCATATCTCAAATGTTCAATTTGAATGCCGAGACAAAATTTTGTTCTCCCAAGGTCTTTCATTTCAAATTCTTTCATGAGATATTTAGCAGTATTTTCAATTTCATTGGAAGTTCCGATTATATTCAAATCATCAACATATAATGCAATTATGGCGAATCCTGATTCAGATCGCTGAATGAAAACACATGGACTAATAGGATCATTTTTGTATCCTTCTTTAATCAAATATTCACTTAGACGGTTATACCACATGCGTCCAGATTGTTTTAATCCATATAATGACTTTTGCAATTTTATGGAAAATAAATCTCGAGATTTCGAGCTATAAGCATCAGGTATTTTAAAGCCTCCAGGAATTCTCATATATATATCTGTATCGAGTGAACCATATAAATATGCGGTCACTACATCCATTAGCCGCATTTGCAGCCTTTCAAAAACAGACATGCCAATTAAAAATCGTAAAGTAGTAGCATCAACTACTGGAGAATACGTCTCATCATAATCGATTCCTGGCATTTGAGAAAAACCTTGGGCAACAAGTCGGGCTTTATATCTAACGATTTCATTTTTCTCATTGCGTTTACGCACAAACACCCATTTAAAACCTACAGGTTTTACGCCTTTTGGCGTGTGGACAATTGGTCCAAAAACATTACGCTTTTCTAGCGATTTTAGTTCTACCTGAATTGCTTCATTCCATTTTGGCCAATCGTTTCTACGACGACATTCGTCAATAGATTTAGGCTCATTGTCATCGTGTTCATTCATTATATCTGTGGCGATGGCATATGAAAATATATCGTTAACATCAATATCTTTTCTATTCCATTGCATTCCATTAGAAACGTAATTGATTGAAATTTCAAAATTATCAACGTTTCTATCTGTATTTGGAATATGTACCTCTTCAAAGGTGATTGGATCCTCTTTTGAGGTATCCTTATTATTGATGTTATCTTCGATGCCGATATTATCATAATGTTCATTTTCTTCTTGAGAAGGTTGAACTTCTTTGGCATCACAAACTACATCTTGCTTTTTAAATTTTCTTGGTTTCAAATCTCTTGAACCAAGTGGTCTACCACATTTTTTACGTATCATAGATTCATTAGCAAGAGTTCTTTCGCTAATCTCCGCAGGAATTTCTATTCGAGAAGGAGTATTCATAGCTGGAATATGTGACTTTGTCACTTTCTTTGAGTCTGTAAAAGCATCAGGCAATTGGTTTGCAACACTTTGTAAATGAATGATCTTTTGAATTTCTTGTTCACAAGCATTTGTGCGAGAATCAAGAAAAGATAAATCTGTTGCATTCCAAGTAATATCTTTCGTCCGTGGGTCCATTTCTTTATTATCTCCCCCTAAGGCTGGGAATACTGTTTCATCAAAATGACAGTCATCGAACCGTGCGGTGAATAAGTCACCAGTCATAGGTTCTAGATAATTAATAATTGAGGGAGATTTAAAACCAACATAAATTCCCAGCCTTCTTTGAGGACCCATTTTAGTACGATAAGGTGGAGCAATTGGTACTGGTAGAGTATATCTAGAGAGAAGTGAGAGCTAGAGAGAGAAGTGCAATAATATGCTTCAATAGAATGAATTTTGTAACCCCTATAACTACTCCCAAGGGGAGTATTTATAGAGAAAATACGGGCTGGGCTCCCAAGCCTTGGGCTTGGGAGGCCCATTTACAACTGGACCGCTATTGGGCCGAATACAAAGCCACTAATGGGCTGTACAAATGAGTAAGTGTAGAATCTGGTTCTGTGGAGTCTTCGTGGCCGACGAGGGCACGGCCGACGAGGGCGCGGCTGACGAGGGCACCCGGGTTCCTTGGCTTCAGGACCATAATCTGAGTTGGCACCTTCCTGGCCGACGGGGGTCCCTTGGCCGACGAGGGCGCCACTCTGTGTCTTGTGCTTTCTGTTCTTCCGAGTATGTGGGTCCAGAGGCTCAGACCCATATACTCCATCAGGAGTCCCCCACTCTCTAAGCTGAGACGTAGATGAAGTGAAGGAGAGTAGATTCCCGTGCTTTAGTGCTTTTGGCCGATGCGGGCATTCCCAGGCCGTCAGCTGTTGCAGCGTTGGCGTTGTTTCCGTTTTGGTGATCCTGTTCTGTGCTTTGGCCGTTACCTGCTCCTCGCTGTGGGCGGGGAGGCCGTTGTTTCCTTGATGTGTTTGTTTGGGGACGATAAGTGTCCTGCTTCAATGGTGGCCGTTAAAGGCACGCTTTCCCTTTCTTGGACGTTGATGGTTTGAAGTTTGTGTTTGGGCCGGTGAGGCCACTGAGGTTGAACCTTGTTTTGAGGACGATGGCGTCCTTTCCTTTGGGTGGCCGATGAGGGTGTTTGCGCCCTTCTTTTGGCCGTCGCTGATTGGCTTTCGTGTTCTTGGCCGAAGAGCCCATCATGATTAACTGTTGGTGAAGGACGATGAGTGTCCTTGCCTTAGGTGGCCAATTGGCCGTTGCTGATGACGTTATGGGCCTTTGGCCGATGAGGCGCCCTTGTGATGCATGGACGATGTGGCCATGCTTTGTGGTTACATGTTCTTTGTATTGTTCCTTTTTGTTTTGTTGAGGCCGGTGTAGTCCCCCAGTCCCCCACTGCTTCAGGCCGAAGAGTGTGAGGGGTGAAGGAGTTGCTTGAGTCCCTGGCTGAAGCGGCCTCTTCGTAGTGCCCCTGAATCCAACCCTCATGGCGATTTTCTGGCCAAGGTAACCCTGTGGGAGAACCCTTGTGCGCAGATCGCTTGTAAAGAGTTATCATCAAGGGTCATCACAAGGAGCCGATGGCTGTGGGTTCTTTGTTCCTTTGGTTCTGTGGCCGTTACGGGCGTTCGTTACGTTCCTAGCCGTTGTCATCCCCTCATTGTTTGGCATTTGTGATCTTGGCAAGCAAGTAGGCCGTTGTGGGCGCTTGCTGGCACTTGGGAAGCCGGCCAGTGTGTAGGCCGTAGAGTCTGATTCGCTAGTGGGCTCCCATTGATATGTAGCTTGGCCCGTTGGTGACATGGTGGCCTCCCATTGGTGGCCGTTGATGTGGCCAGTGGGAGGGTGCCACGTGTAGTGACCGTTGGGTGGGGGGTTCTATAAATACCCCTCCCCCTCCGACCAGAAATGTTATTTGCATTCTGAATTGTCGAAGTGCTGGCCAATTTTCTAGAGAGATAAACTCCCAAGCTTGTTCTTCGTGTTCTTCGTGTTCAAGGTTAGTTTTCATCGCCATCCTCTGTACTTTGCATACTTTGCTTCCTAGGCTAGTGATCTAGTGTTTAGGCGTTTGAACACCCTTAGATCCTAAGTGATTCCTCTTAGGCTCGTAGTAGTTGTTATGATGAAGAGTTTGAACGAAGACTAGTATCCGTACGACGACCAGCCCTCCACTAGGTCACTCGACTATGAGGTGCTCGAGGAGTTCGAGGAGGAGATAGAACATTTAAGCCCTTATAAGTCCGGGGAGCCGGTGGACGACGAAGGTGAGGACGAGGAGTCCGCTTCATCTTCAAAAGGTGAGGACGCAGCTGCGTCCCGAGTGGTGGATGGGGCGTCCACTTCAGCTGTTATTCCGTGCCCGAGGCCGGTGTTCGCCGTTAAGGGAGCCGCTAAGCCGAAAAGGATAAGGAGGCCGAAGAGTGGGCCTGGCGTCTCCTACCTGGATCTCACAAACATCTTTCTGATCAAGCCAGAGAGCAGCGCGGCCGACTACTTGGTTGCCCAGATGTACGTGGGGCCGTTCGGGCGGGTTAGGGCACCCAGGCCGACGGACCATGTTCTTCATCCGCCACCGGGATACTTTGGAGTATGCCCGATGAGTTTTGCCAAGGGGCTGAGGTTTCCCCTTCACCCCTTCATCACTGAATACCTTGACATGGTAGGGCTCCCTCCGGCCTTGCTGACGCCGAACAACTATTCTTTGATGGTGGGGTTTTTGCTCCGCTGTGAGGAGCTGGGCTACAGGCCGACGACGGCCCTTTTCATGAATCTGTATCAGATCGGCCGAGGAAGCCACAAAAACTGTGCGGCCTATGCTACTCTTCAACAGCTGCCGAAGAAGAGGAGCTTCACGGACTTGCCTTCGTCCATTCATGGGTGGAAGAGCAAGTTCGTTTTTGTATCCCTTGGTGAGAGTGGCACCGAGTTTCCCTCTCTCGTCCATACCGGGAGGTTTAATCTGCATGACCCGCCGAAGAGCTCTATCTTGGATGCTCAGGTGGAGGCTTTCTTGGAAGGGGGGCCGAGGAGCGTGAAGGATTATATCACTGAATACAAGATAACCGCCCTCGGCTTCTTGAGATACCATGTGTATGGCGATACGGAGGATGATCTCCAACTCTGGCCGAGGATGACCACCACCTTCGAAGAGGCCGACGGCCCGGATTTGGGCATTCCTGCTGAGGCCGATGGTAATTATTTCTTCGGCTTTCTTTCTTTATGATTTGTTCTTTTGCCTTACTAACCTGTTGTTTTTTCCTTGTGTAGATTTTGTCATGGATCGTC